CTCTATTAACCTAGGCAGATATTCTCATTCTAGGTTAAAGCAGTAACAACAGGAATTTGATCAAGATTCAAGTCATTCAATCATTAAAACCTCAATCGAATATAATCAATCATAGAATCAGTACTTGGGTTCATACAATCAAAGCCTAACATACAAATCTAGGGTTCTCCATACCCAGATGAATGGGAGAACTACTCCATGGAGAAGAAAGCAAAAGCAGAATCAGACACGGAATTCATACTGCGAAGGATGGATTCCTGCTTCTGGACGTTGATTGGCACTTCTCCAAGCTCAAACTGGCCTCCAATGGTGTTGAAGATCAATCTAGGGCGCTTGGAGACTCTTGTTCGTCGCTTTCTCTCTCTAGGAACTGATCTCTCTCTCTAAAACTCGAATCCCCTTGAATTGTGGCTGAAAATCTGCTTAAAAACATCAGTGGCCAAAGCACGGTCGAGGGCACGGCCGTGCTTTGCCTGACTCCGCCCGTGCCTCGGCCAGGGCTTAATTACACGGCCAGCAGCTGGTGGAAACACGGTCGTGCTTCGCGATGGACACGGTCGTGCTTTGACTGAACACGGCCGTGCTTCAGTGCCCGTGTTTGCAACTGAATTGGCCAAACCAAATTTGCTCTCGGCATAAAAAGCACGGCCAGCAGTACACGGCCGTGTAATGCCTTGGGTCTGCCCGTGTTTTGGCTCCAGCTCACCGAAATGACTTCCGAATGCCCCGAAACTCGCGGTTAGCCTTCCCTTTAACGCCTGGGACCTGAAACATGACAAAATAGCACAACCCGGTGTAAAATAGGCCAAAACACACGACTATACTCCTCAAACGGATAAGAACTAGGGGCGCAAACATGTGCATTTACATCGTTATCAGTTACCGTGAAAAGAGATCAGGAACGGGGACTGGCAGGCAGACCACTCAATAGCAGGGGACTGGAAGGGGTACCACTCCAAGGCACGGAGCTAAAGTCAACAAAAGACACACACTGGGTGAAAGAACCGGAGGTCCAAGTCTACAAGCCAAAATAAAAATAAAAATAAACAAAACAGAACGAAACAACAAAAACATGGAGTCTCAGTCTGGAAAACAAATGAGGGCAGAACCAGCCGCTCGCCACTAGAACGCATCACCACCATCTTCGGTGGGTGGAGGGTACTCGTCCTCATACCCCGAAGACTGCACGAAGGGGTAGTGGAATGCGTTCGGATCCAGGCCCAGGTACGACACGATGTAGTGCTGGCCGGACATAAGACGACGGCCGCGGTCCGCTCACGATCGAGGCGGGTGTGAATGCTCTCTTGGCCGGCCAGAATGCGCTCGTTCTGCTGAGCGATGGCCGCCAACTGGTCAGAAATGGGCACCACGAGAGCAGGAGACCCGGGAGCCGGAGACCTGGGAGCAGTGGAGGGGCTCGTAGGAGTCTAGGCACGACGAATAGTACGGCGGGGAACCCGGCATCCCCCAGATGCGCTCGACTATGGCTTGTCTCCCTCTACAGGTTCAGGTGGGCGAGGAAAACCCACAATCCAGTGCACACGCCCTTGTCGAGAAACCATATGCTGATGGCGGAGGATGGCTTCGCTGAACGGAGTCGGTGCGCGGACCATGGTCATCCCAGTGATGTCGACCCCGTAGTAGTGGGCTAAGGCGGTGATCACCGAGCAACAGACAAGGTTGTGATCCTGGTTGGTGGAGGCTTTGGCGAAAGTCTGGGGGAGCACAGAGCCCAGCTCGATGGTGTCCTCAGAACGACCCATCGCATGCATGAAGAACAGTGTCCTGAGTGTGACCCGGTTGGACAAGCCTCGGCTGGCGGTGTAGGACTGGGTGAGCAAATGGTTGAGGATCCGCCACTCCGGACAGAGGAGAGTGGCCCGCGTCCTGGCTGGCAACGTATTGCTCATCCACATGGTTCGGCAGGCAGATGCGCTGGAAGTAGGCCAGGGAAGCAAAGTCGTAGAGATCAGTTATGTCCACGTACAGGGGGCGGTCGCTTGGGTGCGGGGAGTTGAGCCGAAGTGCAGAGGCCAACTCCCAGTAACTGATGGAGTGCTCCACCCTGCCGAGCGTGAAATGAACCGCATCAGAATGGTCGGCTGACCCCCTCGGGGAGTGGCGGAAGGATGCATAGAACTCCTAGACGAGCTCCTGGTAGGTCTGCTCGGTGAGGTAGAGAAGGCGCAGACAACCATAGGGGCGAACAGCTGCCTCCATCTGCGCCCTGGCATGAAGCTCCTCGAACACCTCAAAATCGAGATGCAGGTGCTCGGAGATGTGGCGGGTACAGATGGTCCGCAGCGGATGGCGTTGGGTGATGCTCAACTGGTCGAGGTTGTCTTCCATGATCCTGCAAAGCACAAGGATGTACAAATGGCACACAAGCGAACAAGGTTAATGTTAGGCAAAAACCACACGGGGAGCCCTCATATCGAAAGATATGGACAGTGGACTAGGCTCCCGGTGAAATAAGCATACCAATCACACGAGAATCACACAAACAAACACACCGGGGACCCTCAAATCGAGCGATTTGGACAGTGGACTAGGCCCCCGGTGGAACAAACACCAAATCCATTCCAAATATGCACCAATCAATCCACCACACAAAAACCACACAAGCACGCATACAATGCCAACATGCAAATGGTAGGCCGAAGAACTGAAATCCCGAGACAAAAATATAACAAGCAAAGAGCGCCATCGGCCTACCAAATCATTCCCAAATCATGCCACAATCACAAATTCTTCACCTAACTCTAGGTATCGATTCTCCAAAAATAAAATAAGAGGCAATGAAAACAAATCTGGAGACGCAAGTAGATACCGCAAGAGAGGTGAAAAAAGTGGAAGAAAACACCCCAAGTCGCCGGAACACACACCGGAGACTCGTTGGAGAACTCGCCGCCGGCGACCCAACCTCGGCCAAACAAGCCCAAACCTTTGGGGATTGGGCTCCTCGACGCCAGGAGCGTGGGGGCGGTTGCGGTTTGTGATTTGGAGGTCAGGGGAGGGAGTTATGGCCGAAAAATCGAAAGGTTTGTGTTTTTATTGCCGAGAGCACTTCTGGCCAAAATGGAAACACGGGCGGGCAAGAGAGAAAACACGGCCGTATTTTTCTCCCCTGGCGCCCGTGTTTTTACTGCCGAGCCCATTCTGCATTTTTTCAAAATTCCAATTTCAAACCACCAAAACTCATTCGTGCCCCGACTCTAAAAATTACCCAATCACATTTTAAAACGAATCGCCCGAGGCACGAAATACTTTCCAGACAGACTCAAAGACTCAAAAACCGACAAAAATGAAAAGAAAAAAAAAAGTAGAAATGCAAACCGTGGTGGGGTTGCCTCCCCACAAGCGCTTCTTTACCGTCTTTTAGTTGGACGCCCATGGTGGATACTCAGCGGGGTGCAGGAACAGGCGACTCAAAGAGCGGATCCACTTCGTTCTTGAGGTACAACTTCAGATTGCGGCCATGCACCAGACGGGTGCGACTACCAGCATTGGTCAGCTCGACTTGACCATCCGGAAAGATGCAGGCGAGTGAGTACTTGAACGGCCAGAGTGGTCGTGGTGCAGGAGGTGTGACCATCTCATAGTGGTCTCCACCTTTCTTCCGTGCAGGCTTAGCCACCTGCTGCTTCGGCCGCCACTCCTCCTTGAGCTTTTTGTTTGGCGGTGAGGTTGAAGGGAGTGGCGGCGAAGGCGTGAGAGGGGGATCCTGCAAAACGAGATGCACAGAGGGGTACACGACAGGCTCGTGTACCTGGTGAGAAATCGCATGCATATGTGTGACAGCAGGCATATCACAATGATCAAGGTCAGCCACAGAAAAAGTAGCGTTTTCATTCCCAGCACGCAAGATCAGTTTACCACTATGCAAATCAATTAGTGCCTTGGTGGTGGCAAGAAATGGTCTACCCAAAATCAAAGGCACATCCACATCCTCATTTATATCCAGAACAACAAAATCAACAGGATATGTGAATGCGCCTACTTTAACAAGCAGGTCCTCTATGATACCCCTAGGATGCACAATAGAGCGATCAGCTAACTGAATGCTCATCCTAGCAGGGCTAAGTTCACCTAGGTCTAGCTTTTTAAACAGATTGTATGGCATGATATTTATGCTAGCGCCTAGGTCCGCCAAGGACTTCCCTACATTCATGCTGCCAATATTAAGATGGATAGTGAAACTCCCTGGGTCCTTGCGCTTTTCGGGCAGCTTGTTCTGCAAGATGGCAGAACACTCCCGCTCAGCATCACTGTCGAAAGATCCCCAAGTTTCTTCTTGTTGCTGAGGAGATCCTTCATGAACTTGGCGTACTTGGGCATCTTCGACAGTGCCTCCATGAAGGGTAAGCTGACATCGAGCTGCTTCAACATTGCCATGAACTTGGCAAACTCAGTCTCCATCTTATCTTTATGTAGGCGAGTGGGGAAGGGAAGCTGGGGTACATGCTCCTTAACCACTGGTTGTGGCTTGGGAGCAGGGGCTTCCTTCTGCACCCTCACTTCTACATCATCAGCTGGAATTGTTGAAGCAAGCAGTGGCTCTTCCTCCCTAGCCTGGGCAGGTACCGCCGATGTGGACTTGCCACTCTTGGTGGTGATGGCATTCAGCTGCTGGTGCGGCTCCCGTGGATTGGGGATGGTAGTGGCAGGTAGAGTTCTCGAGGCTCGGGTATTAATTTGGCAAGCCATGCTACCCATCTAGTTTTGTAAATCTTGCAAAACGGCACCTTGGTTCCTCTGGCCTGCCTCCAGTGAGGCTTTGCTCTGGTCCATCCTCGTGAAAGTTGCATGCGTGGTAGTCATGAATGCCGCTAGAATGTTTTTCAGCTCCGTCATCTGATTATCTGGAGTCGGTGCTGCAGCTGGCTCGGTATACTAACGTAGCCTAGAAAGGCTACCTCTGCTGAAAACCACCTGTTGGTGCTGGAAAACCAGGTGGCTTAGTGGTGTTGCTATTCCAAGCGAAGTTGGGATGCTGGCGCCACCCCTCATTGTATGTATTGCTGTAGGGGTCAAAGTGCCAAGCATTGGCGATGAAGTCCAACTGCTCTTGGGGAGTAGTTGACTCCCGCATACCCTGGCAGTCTTCCAACAGATGATTTGGGCTCTCATACCACTGACATTGAGCTACTGGAGGTGTAGCCAAACCTCTTCACGGAATAAGACTGTTGGGCTGCTTCAATGTCTGCACTAACTCGGCCACCTGCTGCTCGAGCCCGGACCTGGCCTCCATGGCGTGCACACCACGTTCCCTGGAATTCCTGTCTTTGGTGCCTTGCCCCCATGAATGATCTCTGGCAGCCAGTGTACTGATCATCTGGTTGAGTTCGGGTGGGGTCTTAGTAAGAATATCCCCTCCTGGGCATAGAGACTCAATCACCCTCTGGCTGTCCAGACAGAGAGCACTGTAGAAGTTCCCCACGGTGAATGCATCACTAAAGCCATGATGGGGACACTGCCAGAAAAATCCCATGTACCGCTCCCATGCATCACGAAGTGACTCGTCTGGCTCTTGGTGGAAGTGAGTGATCTCCCGCTGGATCTCTGTGGTCTTCGATGCCGAATAGTACCTGTTCACGAACTTGTTGGCCAGATCATCCCAAGAAGTGATGGACAATGCGGGCTGGGTCTCCAACCACCTCTTAGCATTCCCCGCCAAAGAATGGGGAAAGAGGTGAAGGCGAATTGCGTCATCAGGGGCACCGTTTAGCTTGAACCTATTCGTCAGCTGCAAAAAACGGGAAAGATGCACCCTTGCCTCCTCATCCTTCAAGCCATGGAACTGGATAGAGGATGTAATGAGTTGAATCCAGCATGGCTTGATCTCAAAGTTGTTCGCTGGAATGGGCGGATAGAGGATGACAGGGTGAATGTCAGCAATCCGTGGAGTGTAGTAGTACTCCAAGGTGAGACCCCGCGGCGGTGGATGATGATGAACCCCATCTGCCTGGGGTATGGGGTTGTTCCCAATGATTTGATTCGCCGGGGGAACCTGGTGAGGATTCCCCTGGTGTGGATTGTAATCTCCTTCCATCTCGTACTCGTCCTCGGACTCGCTGCTCAAATGGCCGTCTATGTGCTCCTCCGTAGCGAGTCTAGCTTGCTGTTGTCTCCTGAGTTGGAGACAAGTTCGTTCAAGCTACGGATTCAACGACATTAAACTTCCCGACTGGCTACGGGTCATGCACTACCTGCACACAGTCAAGCAAGCAAACCCGTGAAGGCACAAGTGAGACAAAGCAAACAATGCGAAAAGAAAAGCTAAATTAACAGAATTCACGTTTCTTCAACAACCTAGCCGTCCCCGGCAATGGCGCCAGAAACTTGACTCACTCCTACTGTCACTCTAGAAAATGGCCAAGTGTAACCACTTCCTAAAGCGTAGTATAGCGGGTTTGGGTTTTAATGTCAACCCGGGTCCTAGATGTGATAACTACTCAGCGAATTCTTATTATCTAGTGGTGAAACTTTAGTGCAAGTTCAAACAATTCAAACAAGTAAAGCAACCAATTAAACGGTTGTTTTCAAGTCGAGAGAGGTCATCTGGATATGGTTCCCCCTAGACTGCAGTTAAGCCCGATTGCAATTTACCAAGTTCAGTTTCTATGATAGTTATACTGCGGGAGGTTCTTAAACAGTCTGAAGTCTCGACTAAAGGTCTCCAGACCGTCTCAATCTGAGTCCCCAGCGGACGACTAACCTCCAACGGAGTAAACAGATTGAGGGCCTAACGAACCAAACCTCCACTACCGAAGTAAATTCGATACAGAATAGTGAATTGTCTCCTCGACTAAAGTCGCCAATTCACTACCTTCAATTAAGGGTGCTCTATTAACCTAGGCAGATATTCTCTTTCTAGGCTAAAGCAGAAATAACAGGAATTTTATCAGGATTCAAGTCATTTAATCATTCAAGCCTCAATTGAATATAATCAAATCATAAAATCTGTACCTGGGTTCATACAATCAGACCTAACATACAAATCTAGGGTTCTCCATACCCAGATGAATGGGAAAACTACTCCATGGAGAGAGAAGCAAAAGCAGATTCAGATGCGGAAACCATACTGTGAAGGATGGGTTTCTGCTCCTGGTCGTTAATCGGCACTTCTCCAAGCTCAAGTCGGGCTCCAATGGTGATGAAGATCAAGCTAGGGCACTTGGGAACTCTGGTTCGTCGCTTTCTCTCTCTAAAACTCGGAACCCCTTCTTCTTTGGCTCAAATTTGCCTAAAAGGCCGACCCTGGGCAAAACACGGTCGAGGGCACGGCCGTGCTTTGGTTTTACCCGCCTGTGTTTTGCCCCGTGTTAAAAACACGGCCACACCTTGGGGAAAACACGGTCGTGCCTAATGTTGGACACGGCCGTGTTTTGATTCAGTCCCGCCGTGTTTTGGGCCAGCGCATGACAATCTTGGATCAAGCCTCGGCAGTAAGGGGTCTTTTCATTAATAGCGACTAGATGACATCACAAACTTCCCGACTTGCCGCGGCAGAGTGATCGCTGGATCGCAAAGGCACGAACAATCATTGTCTTGTCCACAAGAAAAGCTCCCTTAAATCACAAGAACAATGATAGTCTCTTAACCCACATAAATAATCGTAATATTTTACCTAAAGCGTTAGAGGATGTGGTCCGTAGCGGAGACAGCATTTCAAACCACTCTCGTCCTTTTTTCATAACTTAAATATATAAGTATCTAATAAAAGAATTATTTTAAAAAAATAATTAATAATAATTATATCTGAATAATTCATTCATAAATTAAAAATAACCAATTATACAATGATACTTTTCAGAAACAACTACGAAGAAATTTCATATAGTGAAAGAAACGCAAAAACATTCGTTGTCTACACTATTATATAAGTCTCTTTCAATGTATCTTACTACATAAGTATTAGCAAACTGGTTGCCAAATCGACTTGAAAACTTGTTCTTAATATAACTCAAAGCTGAAAATGCTCTTTTTACACTTACAGTTGTAATTGGTAGATCAAAACTAGCGGGATTGCCGTTGTCGCTATACAATTTCAGGGTTGTTGGGGAAAAAATCGAATAGGCATAAGAAGAAAAGAGGCCTGATTAGGTCTTTATTGCAATTGAAATTTCATTTATAGTATAATAAATTAGTTTTATGTCAATTTTGGATAAGTAATGAGTTGTGTTGTAATAACAAAGTACTCTAATACTACCTATAAGTATTGTGTTCCATCACCAATATAAATATATATGGCATATTTTTGTTCCACCGAAATTTACCTATGTACCAGGGACAAGGCCCAAAGGGCCTGCCTCCGCTACTGTCCGTGGTATTCGTCAAAATGCAGCAAGAGGCAGAGGAGAAGATAAACCTCACCAAGAAGTGATTCGAGTTTCTCAGTTACCAAATATCTCCCATTTGGCCATTTCTGTGATCAAAACACTTGCAAACATAGTAAACTTATCAAAATAGAGAAAGAGCTAAACAAACGGAACCCATGAAAAGAAAAGGGTAAATATAATTTAATATTCAAACCTTTTATTTTAAACAATATAATAGCCAAACCTTTTTGAAAACAATCTGATATCCAAATCGTCAACTTTCTGTCTGTTTGACCGTTAGTTGACACTTCAAAAAAGTTCGAAGTACGACACTTCATCAATATTCATCGATATCTTCTCTGAAAAACCATCAACATATCGTAGTTCCAAACCCGAGAAGTCCATGACTCCACCATGATGGTATAGAATATCTAAATATTCAGTCATCTGCAATGCCAAAACAAGAAACAAAGTTGTATTGTGACAATTTCCCCTAAACAAAGCTTTTTTGAAGTGTCAACTAATGGTCAAACGAACGGAAAGTTGACGATTTGGATATTAGATTGTTTTTGAAAAGGTTTGACTATTGTATTGTTTAAAATGAAAAGTTTGAATATTAAATTGTACTAGTAATCAGCCCGCGCTCCGCGAGGGGATAAGTTTGACTTTAGTAATTTTATGGATTATGAAACATTTTTTTATGTATATAATCTGAAAGTAGTTGAGATAGTTGTTTCACTGAGCAATGTAATTACAACATTGTTGGATAGAGCCTGTTCTAGGGCATTATTGAGCTTAGGTCGCGCTTTGCCTCGGGAAATGTCAATTTATGTCATCAGTGTACATGGGGACGTAGAATTGCGTGATCTGGCAGCCTACACCAAGCATCATTGTTGCTAAACCAAGAACGATAGCATAGAAGATTCATTATAGCAAAGTGCACGAAAATGTACTGGGGATTTAGTTTGTCAAGGCAAAGACTGGAAAGGTAATGATTATACACTTGTGATTGATATTTGCAAGCTTGGTATACATTTGTGAATGATATTTGCCAGCTTTGTATACATTTCAAGCCACATGCTCAATTTCTCCGGGATTTAGAATAAATCGAAAAAACTGGAAAGGAAATGATTATACACTTGTGATTGATATTTGCAAGCTTGGTATACATTCGTTGTTATCAATTTTAAGCCACGGAATTTCTGTAAAATTGTGACGTATAGTTGCACTGAGTTCCCTTGCACGCCTGAAGGTGGACAAAAAAACTTGTAAGAGCAGTATGATGAGAAATTTAATTAGCCTGAATAGACGTATTAGTACAGAAGTGAAGTTGGTATGGGCAGAGTACATTCTGATGGATAACATATGAGCACAATTTTGGTAGAGACAAAAATACATGTACAATTGTTTAAAGTCTAACGATTTCAAGCTTTCTAACTGAAAAACTTATGATACAAACATAATTCAAATCAAATATTGGAAAGTCTAGAAATGGATCCGTGTACAGAAATACACAAATGCAAACTTCGTTATGAAACTGCAAGGTATCAAAAAAATATAAGATTCAAAATCAGCAATAGAATAAAAGAAATCAGTCTAATGACATCCAAACACCATATTAACTTAAATAAAGCTTAAATGAGACCAATAAAGGGCCAGAAACTCAAATGATACTCATCAGAAGTTTCTTACGAAACTCAAATAAAAGAAATCAGTATAATCATTACCTTTCCAGTCATTCCCTAGTAAACAGTGTCATAGAAACGGTGAGCATAGAAGAATCTGTCAATACTGCACAACATAGCCGAACAGTTCCATGTGCTTGCTTGCATTGTGCCATACCTGAAATCATTAACAGTAAACAGAAAATGCCTAAGCATTAAATCCTCTACACACGTATTGTCAAATAAAATAACTCAATCAAGCATATTAATAGTGGTTAATGTAAAATTTTTGAATGAATTGCAAGAAGCTATCAGATTCCAGGCTGCAAGACAATCTGCCGTAGATTGAGACAACAATGTCTAACTTGCTTTTGAGTTGCTCCACCTGGCTATGTATAACGATAAAGAACAGAAGAGCAATCTCTATATTGTGCAATGCAAGATGCTGCAGCCTTATGATCAGCTTGATCATTGATGGTTATGAACAACTATCAGATGCAACCAAACGAACACAAACAAAATCATAGAAGAAAAGAGACAGGGGCTCGGCATAGAGAATTGTTTCCAGAGAAAGATAAGAAACCACAACCATAGCAGATTTTATAAGCAAAGAGGTAAGCCGACAAAGATCCTACCCATGCTTCTGAGTTAAGCTGAAAATACTGAGAAAGCACCCCAAGCACTCTTTGCTTTTTTCTGCTGCTGCAGGAGGTGACAGTAGAGAGATTGCTCATTACAAATCCTTCGCCTCAATCATCATCATGTAACTGAAAAATCAAGAACACAAAAAATGGTTGATCAGATTGCCTTAAAAACAGAAAAATGAAACGGAAGTATGAGAAAGGAAACTCCCTTTGAAAGACCATTGCACCACATCAAAGAATCACCGACAATAGTTCACGAGTGTCTTGCACTGCAAAACTTCACCCACAACAAATCCATACACACAACATCAGAGTGGAAAGCCTAAAAGCTGGAATCTTCTTCCACTGCAGGCATGACCAAAAGCATACAAAAACTAAATTAAAAACCAATGATAAAAGAAGATATAAAAAACAAAAAGCAATGTATTAGATTGCCAAGAAGAGAACACTATTGTCCATTGCAAGAACATTACTGTTACACCCCGCTCTTACCAAAAGTCAAAATGACTATTATACCCTTAAAAAAAATTGTCAAATTCCACCGTAAAATCGATGAGGATTAAAAATGTGAACTATCGGTTCAAACGGTGTCGAGTTTCGACATAATCGAGTAAGTTACGTACGCTAGTTGAGTTTCAGATTAAACTCACCCGTAAATTAGGAAATGCCCAAAATACCCCTTGAATTAATTAAACCACAACCCTAACCCTAATCTCCGGTTTCGCTCGGCAACACCCAAACAAAATAAAACCCTCCTTTAATTCTTCTTCCCCACCGTGAATAGCTTGCGGCAATGAAGTAAGGAGAGCGAATACCAAACATGGCGGCGGTTCAAAGCGGAACAAGAGCAAGAGACTAATTGCATCTAGGTTGAAGAAAATTCAGAAGAAGCCTGAGGCTCTCAACGTAAACCTCAAACTCATTCCCTTCAAGCCGGCGAAAGATCTTGACTTTGATTCTCACGAGGGGCTTCTCAAGCGGCTGGGCCTGTGGGATTTTGTGAAGCTCCAGTTCGACGCCAACATCCGCACTGATCTCGTGGCGCAGTTGATCGCCAGTTACGATCCGCAGCGGCGCGGTAGCTACGTCAACGAGGTCCGGGTCAAGGTCAACCGCGCCGATTTGGCTCTCGCGCTCAAGCTGCCTACCAAGAAGGAGAAGGTTTCATCCTCGTCAGAGAGTTTTGCGGCGGTTAAGGAGGTGAAAGAGGGTGAAGAAGCTATTGCGTTCGTTGATGAGCTGGTCTCCACTTGGATGCTGTTGCACGACGACGATACGTGGGGATTGGTGGTGGTGGTCGGGCTTTGCTGGGAGAACAGATTAAGGCTCGTTTCAAGCGAAGCTTGAATTTGGTTTCTTCGATTCTCTTTTTCTTGTGTCAATACTCATCAATTTGATGGTTGGCGACTCTTTTTGGTCGCCCAAGAAGATAAGAAGGGGCGGAGTTGGGGTTGTCTCTCGGGGAGTTAGAGCTTTTGGGATATGTAAGCTGGTATTCGGACTAGATTTGAGAGTGGGTGGCGTTGAGGTGTTAATTTGAGTGTAAAAATGAAATAAATGGAACAATAAAGCCTCAACTGGGGAAGATGCACTTGGAAATGGAACTGTTGCTGAGGAGATCGGCGGCTGGGCTCGAGAGGATTACAGAGCGGGTTTGGTACGAGGGGAATTAAATGGGATCACTTGGATTTAAATGGCCTAGTCTCTTGCACGTGGTTGATCACATTGTCCATTAACGGTGAGGAAGGTAACCGGATTATTGTCCATGTTTATTATTCACGTTAGTGGTGGTGGTAGTGATCATTGTCCACGTTCATTGATTTGAGGAATGATGCAAGCGGCAAATTGGAAGGTAAAGTGTTCGACCAAAGGGAAAGGAGAAGCGGAACGAGGAGACCACGGGGATTGGTTCATCCCAATGCGCATCAAATTTGTGGCTTATTCGAGTAAGACGATTATGCTAAGGTGAGTGTAAAGGGGGTTCATCCCAATGCGCATCAAATTTGTGGCTTATTCGAGTAAGACGATTATGCTAAGGTGAGTGTAAAGGGGGTTCATCCCAATGCGCATCAAATTTGTGGCTTATTCAAATTTGTGGCTTAAGGAGTAAGTCACCTTCAAGAAGGTGAAGTCGTTTTAAGTGTTTTTAGTCACTAGCGCCAGTCCGTTGCCATTTGAGATTTTCAGACAGAGCAGCAGTTATGCTCTTGAGACTTTTAAGATGAGAAGCAGTTATGCTCTTGAGAATCATGGTGAAGAGCCACCACGATAAGTTTAAGATGTTAGGGGGATGAATCGTTATGACTTCCCTAACTAAGCTTAAGTTTAAGGAAAGCCTAGATGGCTTCTCATACGTAAGAGTTTGCAACCGGACTAGCTAGTGAGGGATCCCAATGTTAGTCAAGTATTTAAGCCGAGATTTGAGATTTAAGAGAGGAGAGTAACTTCAACTCCCTCAAAGTTTAAGAGTTAAGATTTTAAGATTTGGAAGTACAAATAACTTCCATTAGTTAAAGTTAAGTGTTTAAGTAAAGTGCTCAAGTATTAGAAGTATTAAAACGTAAGGGCGTAGACTGACCCCATCTCACTCACCAATTCGGAGAGCTAGAGGAGCATTTAGTGAGCAGCGAGTTCGAGGGCAGCCAGCTAGAGGAGAGCAGTATAAGCGTCACGGAGGATGCCTAGTCAAGGTTTTCAGTAGCAACAACTTCGGAGTTTATTAGTTAATTACACTTATGATTATGAGTACAGACTGGAGGTTATTTTGAGATCAGATTGAGATTTTAAAGTTTGAGTTTAATTTGCCCACGTGTTAGGGCTTTGCTTTGAACTACAAGTATGTTTTCAGTATTTTAGTTATGTAAATTTTTCCCGATGCAATTTAAGATTTGAGTATTTTATTTGTCAAGGGCATTTTAGTAAAAGTAGTACCCGGCCGGGTTAGGGTGTTTCATTTTGGTATCAGAGCCGGTCTTCCTCTGTTCCTTGGTCTCCAAGGAATACGGGAATGTCGGTCTCAGTTTTTAAAGGTTTTGTTTTAAAGGAAAGGAAAATGAGTCAAGGGTCTCCTTTTAAGAGTTGATAGAATCTCCAGTCTACTATGATCGTATTAAGGTAAATAACTAAAGTTCTAATAGAAGAGGTTTCAATCGTAGAGGAATACCTCTAGGATTTTGAAGGAGTAGTACGAGGATTCAACTACTAGGCAGCAAAGAGAGGATCTAATAAGCAAAAGCGAACAAATAGGAGAACTATGAATCTCCGAAGAAAGAGCTACAATCACTAGATGTCAGTAGCAATAATGATGGGAGGATTTCAGGGTCCTTGACCCTAAGCAGTGGCGAGAAAGCAAAGAGTAAAGAAACGAAGAGGTACCACGAGAAGTCCCCCAACTAATTTTAGTTGTTGATGGCTCGATGCTATTACAACACAGTGACAAGGAGTAGTGGAAAGCTTCGGCTTCAAGAACAGCTAAGGTAGGATAAATGAAGCAAATGAGGTAATAAGTAAGTCACATGGAGTATGAAAGGATGTCAAGAAGTCAACAGGTCAAGGAGGAGAGGAGTCATGGTCATTTCCATATGACGATAAAGGAACCCTTATAGATAAACTACCTCACTAGAGAAGAGGGTACATGACCCTGGGGAGTTAGGCTGATAGCAAGACTTTAAAAGGAACAAGACAAGCAACAAGATAAATGATGTAGAGGTTGATGTTAGATCAGGCATGCTATACACCTTCCAAGCGCAAGCTAGAGGACAAGGTATGAGAAGGGGTTGAGAGACCCTGCAAATTACCATGATCAAGGAGAATAAAAAAATCGTGAAATTTCAAGGAATCCATTGGGAAAGTCTAAAGTGGGAACTAGAGGTCCAAGGGAGGGAGTCTCGGAACCAGCCGTAGGAGTAAATCATTCAATCAACCGGGTATAGACAAGCAAGTACAACGTTCATTAGAAGTTCTAATGAAAGTTGGAGAATTCGAGGAAGAGTCTAAACGGTCGTAATGAAGAGAGTTTGCGAACAATACCAAGAAAGAGCAAAAAGGCCAGAGGGACTTTGACGAGATTTCAAGAAGTCAATGGGTCAAGTCTCAGGTGACTCGAGGTCAAGGAGATGCACAAAGAGGTACGATGTGGGAAAGCATTACCGAGAAGGAGGAAAGAGAGAAGTTACCTTATCCAAGGTGCCCCACTCTGAGTGGGCGCGGCATGTTAGGAGGGCTCCAGAGGAGACAACTAGTTAAGGATGAAACAGGCACGCTTAGTTAAGCCACTAAGAATCCTAACTAAGAGACTAAGTTTATGTACAAGATTGATCAACAAAAGAGACATGGAATGAGTTATGTTAAAGGTTACCAAGGGCAATCCACCATTGGAAGTTGTGACCTAAAACAACAACGAGAAGATACTCAACAGAGGTTGGTGACCAAATATAGTACAAGCAACAACAGGAGAGTTGCAGTTTGGTGGTAGTAAAAGTAAAGAAGCAAGAAGAACATTGTGGGAAGTTATAGATAAAAAAGGGTTGGCATCAACCTGGTGATGTATGCACAAGGTTCTAAAAGGCGCTAGGCGTAAGGCAGGCGCTCGGCTCCTGACTTGCGTCTTGCCTGATTAGGCGTAGCCTAGGCGCGCCTAGGCGTTTAGAGCATAAATGGAAAAAGTTCTCAAATATTTCCTGTTTTCTGGAATAATTCATATAATCCAAGTGCATATAAAATTAGCAATGCCTAATTCTTATCAGTAAACACTTAACATAACAAATAACAAGCAAATAGTGACCACTTCCTAAAATCACAAGTTCATAAAATGTCGAAATACTAAACCATAGTCAATAAGTTCATAGGAAAATGTTCATTCTTCATCATCCAAGTAGGTCCGTCCAGCCACCACTTCATCATCCTCAAAAGCAATCTCCTCACCATCCTCCTCCTCTTCCTCCTCTTCAGACTCTAATTCTTCATCATGGAGCTCTCTCACTCGTGCACTCCTACGAAGCTCACTCTGTTCACCCGCCATTGCATCTGTAACAGTACTCAAGGGTGCACAATATGATTCCTCATCCTCATTTACGAATACATACATAGCATGGTCATCCCTTCCCGTGTTTCTGATTTTCTAGGGCAAGAGGCAATTTAATGATTTTCTAGGACAAAACGAAGAGTATTGGGTTTAACCGCCTAAGCTTGCCTAGGAACGCCTTCTCTCCACTAGGCGCAAACTAACCGCTATTCCTACCTACTAAGCGCTACCAGCTCCTTTTACAACGCCTATGGCCAAGTCAAGGCGATCCTCCACCGCCTAGCACCTAATTGAGCCTAGGCGTGCGCCTAGGCACGCCTTCTTGAACCCTGTGTATGCGTCAAGGAAGATAGTTAAGACGGGCGGAAGCAGGAGTACAACAGACAACAAGAAAGCATTAGGTTGACCATCAAGTAGAGAATAACCGATCCATAGGAAGTCCATAAAGATATTTCAGTCAATTTTTAAGGTCGAATCATGATCGTCAGGAATAGTCGAAGGGAGAACCTTATCTATCATGGTACATGAGTGAGAAGAGGAAATAGGGACCTAGGGGAATACATCGAGAACAAGGGACATCTAGAGCTAGCGAGTAACCTCAAGAAGGGTCGTGAGTAAGGTAGTAGTAGGGATATGAGTTTAGGGAACCTGCTAGAATACCACAAAGTGAAGCCAAGATCGCCTATGCTGGTGAAAGGTGTCAATCTCTCAGGTAAGACTCTATGGATGGGGAAACTGTACTAGGAATTTCGGGCAAGGTCAAGGAACAATAGAAGAGATCGTACGAGAACTCCCAAGTCAAACGATGATAAGGAAGTGTTAAGTTAGGTGCCAGGAGTGAACAAGTACGCAAAATGGAAGGTCATGATTCACGAAAGGAGTCATTAAGTTGATTGCAATCTAGAGAAAGATGCAAAGGATGCTTTTAATGCATACAGAAAGTAGAAGCAGAATTATGAGGTTTCGACATTAAGCAAGAAGTAACAAAGAGATGACCATTCAGTTTATGGTTAAAGGATAAGATGAAGTATCGAGGAAGAACATAAGAGATGTAAAGCTAGAAGATACAAGGACTTAGGTGACCGATGTGGTCAACCATGGACGAGAATTACGTTAGAAGAGTTTTGCAGTTAACAAGATGGAGGTTAAGCCGCTATCAACAATCTTGGGGTTCGAAGTGGCATTACCTTCTTATGTACCGAATGATGGAGGTAGGGGATGCCCTAGCTACGTTCAAAGTACATAACCGATGTGAAGGAGGTAAGAAGCATGAGATAACAGAGAAATGCCGAGCAAGTTGAACGCTCACCCGGGATGTTACGTCATGGAGTTCGAGGAGGGTGAATCATTAATCGTGAAAAAGATAGCATTATAGGTCTAAATACTTGGAAATTATGAGACGAAGTTGCTTAAGGAATCATAAGAGGAGACCTTGAGAAACCATAGTGATTACAAGATGCTTTGAGTAACGTACCACAAAGTAGTAGAAATCCATGATAAATGGGTGAACTACCAGTCTGCTAGGATCACATCTTATTGGAGGGAAGGATTTATAGCTCAATGTCGTACAAGTAAAGAAAGTATAAATCCCTGTAGCAGAAGGATAACCTCAAGTGAAATGTTGAGTAATCACGAAGAACAAATTTCGAGGTTGAAATTTTTCGTAATGAGGGAGGAAATGCGATATCTCGAATTTTCGTTTCATCACTTTTGGATCAAGTTGTGAAATAAAAAGGGTTGAGAGTCACTCAAGGTTACACGATTTCTACAAGCTAAGGAAAAATATTACGATCAAGGGTTACCAGCGAAGTTGTATGGTAAGAATAAATGATCGGGGGAAGGAAGCACAAGAAGGGTGTGGAGGAGGAAAGCCCGATCAAATTTTTATAAGGGTGGAGGAAATGTTACACCCCGCTCTTCCCAAAAGTCAAAATGACTATTATACCCTTAAAAAAAATTTGTCAAATTCCACCATAAAATCGATGAGGATTAAAAATGTGAACTATCGGTTCAAACGGTGTCGAGTTTTGACATAATCGAGTAAGTTACGTACGCTAGTTGAGTTTCTTATTAAACTCACCCGTAATTTAGGAAATGCCCAAAATACCCCTCGAATTAATTAAACCACAACCCTAACCCTAATCTCTGGTTTCACTCGGCAACACCCAAACAAAATAAAACCCTCCTTTAATTCTTCTTCCCCACCGTGAATAGCTTGCGGCAATGAAGTAAGGAGAGCAAATACCAAACATGGCGGCGGTTCAAAGCGGAACAAGAGCAAGAGACTAATTGCGTCTAGGTTGAAGAAAATTTAGAAGAATCTCGAGGCTCTCAACGTAAACCTCAAACTCATTCCCTTCAAGCCGGCGAAAGATCTTGACTTTGATTCTCACGAGGGGCTTCTCAAGCGGCTGGGTCTGTGGGATTTCGTGAAGCTCCAGTTCGACGCAAACATCCGCACCGATCTCGTGGCGCAGTTGATCGCCAGTTACGATCCGCAGCGGCGCGGTAGCTACGTCAACGAGGTCCGGGTCAAGGTCAACCGCACCGATTTGGCTCGCGCGCTCAAGCTGCCGACCAAGAAGGAGAAGGTTGCATCCTTGTCAGAGAGTTTTGCGGCGGTAGGGGAGGTGAAAGAGGGTGAAGAAGCTATTGAGTTCGTTGATGAGCTGGTCTCCACTTGGATGCTATTGCACGACGACGATACGTGGGGATTGGTGGTGGTGGTCGGGCTTTGCTAGGAGGACCGATTAAGGCTCGTTTCTAGCAAAGCTTGAATTTGGTTTCTTCGATTCTCTTTTTCTTGTGTCATTGGTATATAAAAGCCTTGGTTGCCACTACTGTTCATTAGTGGCCCCCACTCTCTCTTCTGCGACTGGGCAATCTCCAAATGCTTCCCCTTCGTTCGCCCATGTGGCACTCTGCTCCTCTCACACAAAAAACCAACTCATCTTCTTACCCAACTCGCCATCGATGAACCATTGGATATTTCATTTATCCACTGGTTTCTCCTCCGAAACTCTTACAACGCCATTTTGCTTTTATCTCTAACTCTTTCTTCCCTCTTCCACTTTGCACGCCATCTCTGCAATTCTCACAGAACCCTCTTCCAACCCTTCTTCTCTTTCTTTGCTTTTCTTCCCACACGCAACACTTTTCTTCTTCCAACCATTCTTCTGACATCTTCTACTTCCAATCCTTCATCTATTAGCATCTCCTCTTTCTCATTGTCAATCAACACTATGGTTAAGGGTTGCAGCAGCAGATTCAACTTCATCTGCTAGATCTTCAATCACCCTTTTACTACCATTCATCTTTTTCTTAATGTTTTCCTTTGTCTTTGCTGGTCGTACCTTTTCGGCGGAATCCCAAGTCCCGATCTCTCCTTCTCTCCCGATGTCGAAGAAGAACAATAAGAACAAGAGATGAATGGTAGCTTTGCTCGGTGGAATACTAGCTTCTGATCCCGTTGTTATTCATTCCCCTTATATCTTGCCTGCTGCATTCCATGTAGCTTCTTTTTGTTTTTGTTTTGATCTTTGTTCTCTCATTGGTTTCCAGGGAAGTAAAAACACATACGATAGCGTGGGAAAGAGATGGCGGGTGACGGGTGAAGTAGCGTGGATTAAAGAAGTCCAGAGAGAGGAGAGGGAAAGCCTCCTGTTGAAGCGTGAAGATCTGCTATAGATGGGATTCCGTCGAGGCCGGCGCAGGTGGAAACGGATGCAGGGGAGGGCGTATCGGGTGGGATTCCACCGAGGCCCTTCTGTGTGGCTGAAACATGATGTGGAAAGTTGAGATTATGTTGCCAAAAACAGGAAAAACACACTGGTTTCCAGAGAAGGCATGCCACCCCCACCGCACACGCATCCAGGAAATTGTCCATGCCGCGGCGTATTTAGGGGATGAGAGGGGAACCCTATCTCCTCCAGTATTAACTTCACCCAGCAATTCGCAAACCTCCTTCAAGCACAGATGGCGGAAACCTTGATTGCCGCCCCATAATCATTTTCCCAAATCGCTCCCGACGAATCGTCCCTAATCTCCGACTTGGCAGCAGTCCCGAATCTCCTCTTCTAGCCTTCCAACTTCACCACCACACCCCCTACTTCCGGTTCCACCTCAAATGGCTTCGGTGGAATCCCAACTTCTGCAGATCTTCACGCTTCTGCCTCGGCGAAATCCCAACCTTGAAGATCTCCCCTCTTACATTGCATGACTTTCCCTCTTTGCTCTCCTCTCTCAACTTTACCATACTACTAGGTCGCTCTCCTTGCAATCGTTAATGCTTCCTACAGTACCCACATAGAACAGGACAAAAGCGGTGCCGGACCTGCCACCGTTGACTTGGTTTGACGACAGGATGGGAGCGCCATAAAAGACAATTGATTCAACGTGTTTGGAAATTTTCGATTCAGGTTTAGTCTGGTTTGGAATAACCTTCTACTCGCTTTCGGTGCTTTTAATTAGCCAAAAAAGTCTCAAGTTTTCCTTCCGCTTTTGTTGTGTTGTGTTACTGTCAGGTCATTTCCCAAAAAAAATCATCCATTTGAGTCGCTTGTGGAGTTTTGGGTGTGTTTTCTTTTGTGAATTGTGTTTCAAATTTTCACTCTCATTTCCTTTGGTTGTGGACTCTGCAGGTGTTCATTAATTTTCAGTTCTTGGTATTGTAGGAGACCAGCAAGTTCTCAATCCTCATGAGTTGAGTTTCCAGCTACTATACCTCTCCCCTCAAGTTCTTGGTTTAGTTTTTATTTTATTTTTTTCATGTCTTTGTGGTTCTGAATTAGTGAATTTTACAGTGTAGAAAGTAGAAACAGCAGAGAAAGACATACAAACTGTCAATGTGCTCTCATGAGGTTGAACCAAGGAGTCTAGACATTAATCTCATCAACATGACATATGAGCATCTCAAGTGGTGGTAATTTGTTTATTATATGATGTACTCATTCTGGAATGGAAAAAATATTTGGATTTAGTATTTGCTGATTCTTTCCAGGTTTTGTGCAGTTTTCAAAGAAACTACAGTAGATACACAAACCCTACAACTCCTAGAAGTGCCAAGTTCATGGTTTGCTCTCTGCCCACAATTTTCGTTAATCATCATTTCCATTGCTTCTCTACCTTTCTCATCATTGTGTTGTACAATCCAAATCACTACAGCATTGCACATTGAATTTCACTGCTGTTGCAATCTGGCATCCTTCTTAACAATGTTAATACGATCATGTCTATAAGATGTAAGGCTTATATTGAAGTTCATGCTTGGCTGCTATGACATAATCATGCACCCTACTACTTCG